GGCTAATTTTAAAAGCAAATTTCTGTAAAAAAAAAAGATGAATACGAAAACAAGACGATGCCAAAACATGTTTGGCTAAAGTTAGGCCATAAATATTCATCATTTTATCCATTGAAAATGGCAGTTTAACTTTAAGTGTGAGTTTTTCTCAAAAGATGAAATAAAAATGTTTCTGAGCTTTAACTGTCACTTGGATAATTTGACACTTTCCTTTTGGCAGAGAGCAATAGATGGACAGCTAAGGAATCTAACCTTTTCTCTGCTCTTTGTCAGGATTGATGCAGTCTCCGACAGAAGCACCCCGTCTCCTTAGTCCTCATCATCACCTGAAGTTTCATCTTCCTCCCTCCGAGGCGGGGGTCAGTCCGGCTCCACGCCCACACATCTCGCCCCGTCTACCTGCCGCATTGATTTACATACATATGGAAGTGTGTGCCAGGGGAGGTGACKGATGATTGGACAATTATCAGCGAGGATGTCAGGCGCAAGCTGGGTGGGAAAACGTTCATCAATATCACAGTCTCTGTAGTCATGGTGGTGGCACTGRGCCAAGGCCAGCCAGCCGGCAGAGCTGCTGCCAGAGTGTCGTCAGTCCTCTGGAGTCCTGGAGGAGCTTGTTATCGTCCATAAGCAGCAAAGTCTTGTTATAAATGAAGCGTCGTTATGAGGATGTTTGATCATAATGGACTGTTGTGGGTGTGAGAGTCATAATGAAACCATCTCTGCGTTCTTCAGTTAAAGAGTAATGAATGATGGCTGTGAGGTTAAACACAGAGGCTGTGCTATTTTTTGCGCTCAGGTGTAGCTGAGAGGTCAAACTCGTAAACTTAAAGCTGTTTTGAAACTGTGGAAACTGGGGCAGGTGTTGCCACAGAAACAGGCAGTGTTTGCATTCCCCTCATAGGTGTGATGGAGCAAAGGGTCGCCSCCGTCTTCTCTTCAAAACAACTGGCAACTTTCTGGGACACGTGAACGTGGCTCGAGTTTCTTCTCCGCTCAGATACACTAAGAAGACGCCAAGCAGGGCGCGTTTTCATGGTTAGACTGATTGTCTCTGACAAATGCTCTTTGAAGGCAGGAAGGGCAAAACAAGCACATGCTTTGATGTGCCATTCCAACATGCTGTAGTTTTGCATCAGTGGACAGATGGGATCAGCACTGCTTCACGTGTAGTGTGTGGAAATGGTTTTACACTAACGTCTCATGACGCTATTTATTTAGTTTTTAAAATTTTAATGTGTAAAATGTATAAAACATAATGAACTTTACTCAGTTMTTGTGATTTCAAATGTCCAAATCAGAGTAGTTGATCAGATTATGTTTCTTGTTTTTGGGTGTGGGGGTGGGGCGGGGTCTTGTGATGTGTTGTTGTAAGTTTTGCACATGGAGGTAGAACAGCAGGAGTGCATCTTGACCAWGTGACTGTGTCACAGTGGCAAGCAGATTTAACATTACTCTACATACTGGGAAAGTAGCAAGCAATAAGGTCTGATTATGTAAAATTTGTGAAAATTATTACTGATATTAAGAAAAATACTATTATTCCAGAGATAGCATATATTAGCTACATTAGCATATAATGCTAAACAGAGTGTAGCACTCTGCTCTGCTGAATCATACTACAATTTATCACAAATTATTAAATATTACAAGATGAATTTGCCTCTGATTTATGTAGTATTGTGTAAAATAATATTTGACTATTTTTAGGTTTCAGTTAGATTTAGGTTCGACAAACCTGACAAGCCGCTATCAATGAAGAACAAGTTTCACCCTAAAGTGTCACAGTGTGCCGTGAATGTGAAAGTGTTGACTGATAAACATTAATATTATTTACGAC